TCGTCTTTTATTTTTTTCTATATCACGTATTATTAGATTTTTTTCCCCATTTTCTTTCATTCGCGTTGCGTTATAACGATCGAACGAAGCTGGAATTGTTCGATTAATATTATTACGATAAATTTTTATGATATAAAAATAAAAGAGAATTATTATTTTAACAGATTTTCCGTTTAATACCGTATTGCATTATTTCATTGGATGGATCTTAAATAGAAAGATTGAATAAAGCTTTATCGAAAGGATTAAATAACAAAGTTGAAAATTGGAGGTTAATATTTCGAATCGAAACAGGGGAAAATTATTTTACAAATGCTTGAAAAAACTAGATGAAACGGATTTTTTAGCCATAAACCCGGATTATCTAAACTTTCTACCATTCAAACATCTTTTTATATATTTTCGTTGGTTAGAGGACCAACGAATAAAATTCCTTTTTTAACTTTATCGATTACATCTCTTTTCTATCCAGTCGCGTTTCGTTCGTTAACGTTTAATTACATTATTTATTAAATAATGACGAAATAAATAATTTATAAAAAAAATTTTATAAAAATCCGATCCGATCTTCGAAACGAGTATTCGTTTCGATGCGAAACTAGAACTTAGAAAGAATTGAAGAGATATCGATCCATTTTACGATTCTCTTTTCCTTCCAATAATTTTTCCCTTTAATAGTTTTCCAATCAGAAAACGACTACAATTTGTCCCAGTTACGCGTATCGACTACTGCGTGGAACGACGCAATAAAAACATATCCTCCGTTACGGGCACGGCAACGCTAGATCGTATCCATTATCCAATAACCATTAAAATCTGTATGTAATAATGAGTCAAACTTTAAACGATCGTTTCATCGAGTTATTTACTTCCGTCTCGTTTCCACAAACGAGATCCTTCCCCCTTTTCTTTCCCTCTGTTAAAACCTGTATATCTCTGGTCGCCCGTCTCTCGAACACAGTGTGACCATTGGAACGAAGAACGGGAAACGCAACAATGGCGTTTCCAAATGAAAATTCGATAAACAAAGGGGATGGGCAGGTATCTGGTAGTTGGTATGCGCCGCGATGCGCTTCTATTCCAGTGATAACAGGCCAGAATACGTTTGTCAGAATCGCTGGGACACCATTGCGACGATGCTAAATTGTAGGCAGACGTGGACGGTATGCGTGATGCAGAAATTATTCGTAACGTTATGCGCGACAGTTGACACGACGACGGACGTTTCTTGGATCGAGAGAAAACGATTACGCGAATCAAGCGTGATATCGAGTAATATAAATGGTAAGAGAATCTTTGATCGCGTTTATAAATTGGATCGTGTAGTTTAGATTTGGATCTTTTCGGAGGCGAATAACAACGATACAGTTACAATTTTTCCGGTATTATTGACAAGAGTTCATATTGAGACGTAGAATTCTATTTAAAAACAAGATTATTTATCCTTTGTTTTGAAAATCGGGTTAAGCTTATTTTCTTTCTTTCATTGCAAATAAAAAGGAACTCGTCTTGAAAAGCTTGCCAATTCCTGAGATTCGTAAGAAACATCAAAAGTGGTTGGAATCCGTGTACAGAATCCGAGATACGTCGGAAAGAGCATCTCTATGACATCCAACTAGCCAATTTTTCAGTCACGAATACCAGACGTAAAATGTCAAAGGAAGTGGATATTTATAATATTGGAAACTGTTCAACGTCGCGAATAGAAGATCGCGAGTAGAACTCTTCTCTTTTCCATATCTTGATAGATCTTAGGAAGAAATGTTGCGTTCATTGTGCGCGAGATGTTTCGGAAGTCGATCGATAAAGATTAAGACGCTGATTCTTGAGACGATTTCAAACGAGTTCTTTCTTGGAAAAATTTTGCATTTTTCGACGTTAACGAATTGTTAATGAAAGATATTGGTCTCGAATCGCAAAATCGCATCGAGTTTGGTCGCATCATGACGATAGCATCGGGTATGTGCCATCACCGGACCTGAACAAAATCAAAGTAACGTATGTCGAAACAAACGTGTATCGAATAATTATTGGACAAAAGTTATATTAAATTCACTTCAATTTCACGAATAGTAAATAAATTATCGTAGTTTTGATGACTGTTTTGACTCGTTTGTTCAAGCTTGGCGACTCGCCAACAACACATACCCAACGCTACAACTACTCGATGTACTCTGTAATTGCATATTTTTTTGTTAATAACGAAATCGAAACGAAAATTTTCGTTGAAAAGAAGAAATTGTTTCGAAATTATCTCGGAAAAATCGTCAATTAAGTCTTTTCGATTGATTTCCAAGACAATCCGTATTAACTTATAGTTACAATAAACATCAAACGTTTTCTTTTTACAATCTGTCTCGAGACTGTGTAAAATATTTTGTAAAAAATTTACCGTTGTAATTTTATTTCTCGATCGAGGATAATCTCGTGAGATGATTATGAAGTAATGAATCGTGGTTAATTACGGGAAGAAAAGAAGAATGTCGGTGAGAGGACAATTTCCAAATGGAATTACAACGTGACGAAGAAATTGGACGAGTATATCTTGTGCAAATCACTCGCGGAGATCGCGGAGCTTGTACACCGGCTTCTTTCACCCTCGAGACGTTATCGATCGGGCCCTGGCATCCCCCTACCCCCAACCCCGCCGCTCGGCGGTCACGTTACTAAGCCCTTAGGAATTTTGGGATGCACCGCAATATCGAAAGCACTCGAGCACATCGAGGGCTGGCCCATCGAAATTCCGGTGAACCAGTAGAACCTACTTTTTACCCTCCACTATTTTTAAAAGTGGCCTTTGGGGCGTTCGAGTGGAAATTTTAGGGATGGGGGGTGGAGAACGTGATCTTCGAGAATAGATATTTGGAAGGAATGGGTGTGGAGGATCCGATGATTGTCTTTTTTTTTTTTTTTTTTCCCCCTTCACGAGGAATTGGTTGGCGGAAATAATTTAATAAATCGTCATGAATCGGTTTGGGGCGATGAATATTAATTATTCGAAAGGAAGAGGAACAGGAAATCGAAAGTAAGAGTTACGAAAGAAATTTAGGAAATTTTGGAAATTATGTGAAAAATTAGTTAGCATCGACGAAGTTTTTATCGAGTTGAATCAATTTTGATTTTTAATAATATCTTGATGAATTGTGAAAATTTTAAACAAACGTCTTTGATTGTTAAAGGTTAAATATATACGGTATGGAGAAGATAATTCGACATTAGTTCTAAACGTTTCAATCTTATTCGATCCATTCTCTGAACACCGGTATTGTCCAACCGTAGTATTTGCTCTGATCTCTAGAAAACTTTTTTAATAGTAAGAAATCGTATACAGGCTTGTTGTGAAAGCTATTTGAAGAATTATTTATTGTTGTAAAAGTTATAAATAGGGAAAACGGATAATGCAAGTATCATTTTGATAAAATGATACGTTTTATAAATTTTCGCAAACTCGATACTATAATATTAATCCGATAATAATAAGTTTTATTTAGTTGCAACAGCAATAACATTGAATTATTTGTCTCGCGTAGAATTTTATTTATTTCAAAAACTTCTTATTTCAAATATTTCCAATATTTCATTTGTATTAAGGAAAATTAATCTTGTTCGATTAATATTACTTTAATATAATTCATTCATTTATGAGAATCGCATTATCGTGAAATTCAAACTGAATTCACGATACACGTTAAACGTTTCGTATTCTAGCGTATTATACGGGCGGGGTTTATGAATAAAGTTCTATAAAACGAACGAGATCATCAAAGTTCATTAACGTTTAAAAAAATATTCCATTGAAAGACGGTGCTCGTTTTTACGTTTCAACGATTTAACGATATCGTTTATTTCCATATTGTGAAACAACTTCTCGTATATATTTGTTCGAATTCGATTTCAATTAAATAAAATATCCAATATTTTCGCTGAACGATCTGAAAGGAACACGAAAATATGCGATATAATCATTACCGCGATAAATTGCGTTTAATAATCGTATATCGATACGTATCTGTTTAATTCAATTTATATTTTATCTTTAATAATTTTTTTAACACTGGAATTACCGACTCGATTCAATTTTCCAATCTTTAAAAATTTTCTTTTTTCTTTTTCTTTTTCTTTTTCTTTTTCTTTTCGGTGAAAAGAAATTCGAAAGAAGGAGAAAAGTAATATCGGTGGTTGTAATCGCGATTGCATTAATTTGATGGAACTAGTTTCGAACCGATTTTAGGCCACGTGAAATGCTTCCAACATTTTAATATATTCAAACGAGTTTTCCTAATTACCACCAAGTCGATTTAACTTGGATTGTGTTCCTTAGATCTCGTTAAAACGAGAACTTAACTAGATCAGAAATAATAAGAAAGAGAATAATTGAATAGAGAATAATCGATCTTTTCTAGTATTTTAAGAAATGTTTAAAAATTTCTTGCATCTTTCTTATTATTCGAGAAATGATTAAGTTTATAAAATAAATTTTTAATATTTAAATAATTTAGAATATTTCAACGATATTTTTGTATTTTTAAAATGTATGACGTCTAAAAGACGTAAAAAATATTTTACCAACCAAAGAATACCAAAAATCGCATAGAAACAAAAATTTTCGATAATAAAATACGAACAATCGTGAATTTAAAACTTTTCAAAATTGACAAACTATCGACAAACTAATCGACAAATATAAAAAGGAATGAAAGGATGATGATTAAATTTCAGTAAAAGCTCGAACATGCAATTTTTGATTCGATTTTATTAATTTGTACCCTATATTTCAACAAATGATATCTAATTCAACGATAATTATATGTAATATTTTTACATGAAATTTAATAATTTATCAATTTTCCAAATAATTTCGTAATTCTTTTTTAACATTATTATATATATATAGAATATATATATATTTAAAAAAAAATTGAAAAAAATTTAGAATTAGAATAGGTGAATGATCGGTGTAAAAATTAACATTTCAAAGAAATGAAAATTGGAAAATTTACCATAGGAAAAAAGGAAGCCAACATGCTAGAAACGCTGACATAATAATTCCTAACGTTCTCGCAGCTTTCCGTTCTCTTCTCATTTTGCTGCTGCTCGTGATCTGTGGCTCCTCTGGTTGTGGATCCGGCGATTGATCCACGGTCGGAAGTGTGGCCAAACCGGCGGAAATTCCATTGATTTGCAGATGCTTGTTCAAAAGAGCGGCTGCTACTTTACTCCTGAAACCAAACGTTTCGCTTTTATCCATCTTTAATCCATCTTTAATCTTGAGAAAAGTATCGAAAATAAATTACGTATTCACGTAACTTTAGAGTGTAATTAAATTTACGTAAAACGTGTTTTGAATATGTTTTGTGTTGAGGAAAAATAAAATCGTACATTTCACGTACATTGAGATAATTTTATAATTTGCCAAGATTTTGGTAAAAATAGTATTTACGAGCAATGTGTTAATTATTTCAAATAATACCTCGTAATATTAAGAGAGAAAAATATTTCATATGTCGAAAAATCTATTAGGATGGAAAAATAAAATATCCTTAGAATTCCTTAAATGTTGCAGTGTCTTTTTAAGGTATTATTAAGCCGAGCAATATTTGCTAGGCTATTTTCCCCATATAATGCATACGTATCTGCAGTTCCCGAGAGAAGAATAGAGAACTATTATAGAAGATATTATAGAAGATGCAAAGCGCGTCTGACCATAGACGGTCCATTGTCACTGAAACGCTTTGTTCGCTCACCCCACTGCTTTTTCTCAACGCCATCGCTCGTCGATCGCATGATCGATCGTATCATCGTCTACCATTCTCCTTTAATTTTATAACGTGCGTTTAAAATTATTATATATGAAATTATTCTCGACGAATAAAATCGAATATCTATATTTATTTTAATTTCAAAACTCGAAAACAAAATCTTCTAATGTAACTAGAAAATTCAACGAAAATTTCCATTTTAAATTAATTAATTTATATTTAACCAAGGGATTATATCCTTGATGTTAAACGGTATTAATTAAATCCTCTTTCATCCTGATAAAAGTGCTTGGGGTTTAATTCGACGGTAGCTAAGCGAATATTAAAATATAATAATTTTCCAAATATTTTTTGTCCAAATTAATTCGTCTCCTATATTTATAAACAAAGAAGGAAAACAAATTATCTTTGCGAAATACGAATAAAAAAGAACTTTAAGAGTTTATTCATTAAGGAATTATTAAAGTGATTACTAGAAATCTATATGGTGCATTAATTCACGTTATTAATTATTTCTTAGATGATTATTGAAGTGACTATTTGAAGTGGACAAAAATTCGATTGAAATGATCGAACGATAATCATTCAATAATATAAATACAGTTGATAGTCTAATTTTATATAGTGATTGGTTAATTATTGATTAATCATTGACTATTGATTGATCATCGTTTGATCGTTTCGACCATTGATTGATTAGTAACTGAATATTAACTGACTAGTAAGTGACGGATCATTGACGATTGATCATCTACCGATTGATCAACTTTTTCAACTATTGATCGATGATTGATTTTCTGGTGATTGGCCATACATTGGTTGATTATTGATTGAATACAACCATTCACTTTCTCTTAAAATATCTAAAAATTTTCGCATTTAAACGAACGATAAAACTTTACAGGTTTTACTTAAACAATCCCCTTTTTGCAAATTTTAACTTACAAAGATAACATTATGCAAAATTCTGAAAATTTTGATCCATTTATTTGGTAGAAAAGGAATATCGGCGAGCAAACGATGTCTTTTCTTCCAAATTCCTGAGAGACGGATCAAATCGGTTGGACACGATTAAACAGCAGTCTTTGTACAATAAAAGTTGACCTATCTAGTCAGATCCCTCCCGTCCACGTTCCTTTGAAGTGGAATTGAAAAGCATAGACGTTGGGAGGGGATCGGCCGCAGATTTAATTTTTCCTTTGACTAGCAAAGGAGTGACTATGCCTTGGAAACGGATCTCATTTCGCTTTCCGAATAAATCCTCGAACACGCAGTTCAGGCCAAAGGCACGTGCAAATCGGAACTGAAATCGATAAAGAGCCTTCTGTGTCTGCAGATTCTGTTTCGGACAATCCCATTTTCACGCTTGTAACGATCTTCGAAAATTTGTTATAATACGATAACCTGTTATTGTTGTTGATTCCAATCGAAGGATATTAAAATGATTTAAAATATATTAACTCGTTTGGAATAAGATAAATATTATCGTGATCATCGCCAATACTCCATTTTCAATTTTTCTCGTAATAAAAATACCATCTTCTCTCTCGTTTCGAATCGATCGGACATCTTATAAATTACCAATTAAAATATTTTCCATTAGTGGTTCTTCAATTTCACTTGTATTTTCCAATTTTTCATCGAAACGAACCCCCTCTAGTATCTTCGAAACCGTCTCGAATAACGCTCGATTCACTGATCGATCGGAGAGTAAACCGATCCAAGAGATAAAATAAGAGTCGATACGCGTTGTAAACCAATCCAATCTTGAAACTTCGTAACAACGGAGGAGAAGATACCATAGATAACATAGTTTGCGTTTATCTGGTAATTTCTTGTTGGAAAGTTGTCAATCGATGGATCAGAAATTGCCGGTTAATTCGATATCTATCCGGCTATCTAATTTCTTCTTTCCCCCCCCCCCCCGAAAATCTTGATGAAATGCCTCTTCGATACGAGAGCACTAGGTGAGAGAAATAAAGAGGTGATTCGGATGAAAATCGAAAGTTTATCAGTTGAGAGCAATTTTCCAAGGCAACGAGAGAAATTATTACGACACCTTGTGCTTAAGTGTTTCTTTTTCTTCGATAATCCGATGATATAAAAAGTTTCATTTGCTTCTTTTGTCTTTCACAGAGGAGAATTAAAAGTTGATTAATAGCGCAAAAAAAAAAAAAAAAAAAAAAAAAAAAAAGTAGATGCTTTCTGTCGATTTTTCTTTTGTACGTGTATAGAGTATGAAGAAAAAATAATTTCTCTCGTTGTTTTTAATTCAAAAAATTTTTTCAGAAAATTTTTCTCTTCGCAGAAAGAAAAAAGAGGGAATTTAATTTTTCGTGTGTTTTCTTTTTTTTTTCATACACTTGCATTGTGAATTAAAATTTTTTCACAGAACAGCTAGACAACTAGAAATTACAGCTAAGAAATTAAAGGAGAAAAAATGGAATATAATTTTAAAGGGAATGTAATTTAATACTTACATTTTCGGTTTTTAGATTATTACTTGGTCAATCTATTGGTTGTTGGTTATGAATTTGAATCATAAATAATAATGGAAAATAAATTATATAATAATAAAATTAATAAAAGTAAGAAAAAAATTTATAGACACATAAAAGATATATTTTTATTCGTAAAAGTTTTTCCACATCTTCAAAGATGTGAACGAAATGTTATTTATCCAAATTTATTGGATAATCCGATATAAAATTCGGATGAGATGAAATGAAATATCGTCGCGATGTTATTTATATTTGCCTATAATTAAAAGACCAAAAAAGAGAAAAAGAAAGAGAGATAGATTGAAAATTTAAATTCGAATCGAAAGAAACGAATCGATATTCTATCATTAGTAATGTTTCTCTCTTACGTTTTAATTAAATCTTCAACGATCCTCTGCTTTATTAATTTCGTATTAAATCATTAAATCGGGATGTAAAGCACAGGGGTATTGAAAACTCTGGTAACAATTTTTTCAAAAAAATAGAGATTATCGATGATGAAAAGTATGTGTCGCGCAAATATTTGATAAATACGAATTCTTTTTGCAATCGTGAGATTAATTTATTTAATGAAAAAGGGATAGATTTGATTAGATTAAATTAGATTTGCGTTAATTAAAAATTATATTAAAAATCGAGCAAAATTTTGCAAAACAAAGAGAAACAATTATGATACAAGTTTTTATTGTATCATAGTAGATGGAATTTTTCTCCCAATATCTGGATATTTTATAGTATTCATTTAAATCGGAAAAAAAGTTCAAATTTGCTAGAAAAAATTTCTAAAACGTTAGGTCTTAATTAACATAATCCTATTAATATCTGTTTCATAAATTATTTATAGTTTTGCTTTTTATTATACATACATACTTGCAAAGTAAAAAAACATTTCAATATAATGAGATAAGTGGATTACGATTAAAAAAAATTGTTTTAAAAGTTGTTATTAAGATAAATTCGTTTTACAAGCAATAAAATTATCTGTACAAAAATTTAATTCGATTTTACGACTATAAAGATGAAAATATCACTTAAAAGATAAATATTTGCATTTTTATTAATTTAGCGATAATTTAGTGATAATAGTTTCGTGCCTGATTGTATTATTCTATATTTTTCTCTTAGCTAAAGGTTGCTTCGTTGCGACAGAAATAATTGAGTTTCCGCGTTAAAAACGAAGTATTTTGCAAGGATTGAGTTTCTGAAAAATTACATTCTTCTTTCCATTCTCTTCGATCATTCATTAAAATAGTAAAATTATCGTTGTTTTATTCCATTATTTCTATGAATATATACAATTGAATTTATACAATTTATAAAATTTATCTTAAATTAATTTTTAAAATTTTCTAATAATTTATCAATGTTCTTTGCAAAAATATTTTTTTTAATTTGTTTTCGAATTTATATAAAAATCTATACATTTTTAATCGAATACTTTTTTCAAGAGCTACATTCGCAACTCGTCCCTTTTCTACTACATTAAAATTTCTGATCTGCTCCTAATCCTTTCCAACATTTCATTAATTTTTAGTTCCGCTTGTAAAACCTTTCTGACAAATCACAATAAAATCTTTCTTCGCTTCGCTTATTTTTTTTTCTTCTTTCTTTCTTTCTTTCTTTGTTTTCTTTTTTTTTTTTTATTAAGATATCTATTTCACATTACGACAACAAGTTAAAAAATAAGAAATAGACTAGATAAACGGATTATAATAATTTTCAAATAAACGTAATTCCATTTTTCTCGAGAAATAGAAAATTTATTTGAAAAATAAAAAAGAAGAACGTAGATGGATAAATAACAAATACGTGAAAAAAAAAAAAGTCTATCGAAAGCTGTCATCGCTGGAAAGAAACGGAGTAATAGAACATAAAATCGAAACCAGAAGAAAAAAGAAAAAAAGGAAAAAAAAGTGTTCTTGAAAACAGGAAGATTCACTTCCATCCGCATCCAGAAAC